ACTGAAATTATAACCACATTTTTATTTTATTTTCTCAAACATCACATACTCAACAGTTAATATTTCCACGTGAAAATATTTACATAACGTGATAAACATTTAAATTGATAGTTTCGGCAATATTTGTTCTATTAAATATTAAGGAAAGTCGTTCGGTTTCGGGATATAATACAACTATCCTTAAACAAATCATTCAGATTATTCGCGATATCGTATTGTTCAGTCAAATGACAAAAATAATCGAACATGAAGCGTATAATTTTTTATTTCAAGCCGTTGAAACAAGTGAAAAAAAATTATATCAAAACGTACGATGATTATATAATTATATGAAGTAAAGTAAAAAATGATAATAAAATAGAGAAGGAAATAAAATGAAATAGAAAGAGAATATGAAATAAGAAGAGAATAAATACCGTAACAATAAGTATAAAGTAAAGAAATATGATGATAACAATAACTATAAAACTTAGTGGGAAAAGAATATAAATAACGGACTAACTTTTACACGAAGAACGTTATTGATGAATTAATTTAATAAACGTATAGAACGTGATAAAAAAATTAGCACAATTAATCGAGATTCATGAGTATATTGTAGGATACCATTTTCAAGGAAGTTGCCAGTCGGCTATTGCCAACAAAAACAAATTATAAATCGATCGATATTTTCTAGAAGCAAATGGAAAAGTTATTCTATATAACAAGTTCAAGTTGCTTGGCTCCCCTACGGGGAGGTGAAGCGTAGGTTAAGGAAAGCATAAAAGCGTGGTCCTTGACAACCAAAACAGAGTCCTTAGAAATCGGTTGTGACCAGCGCAAGCGTGAGTCGCTTGGTGTTGGAAAAAGAGTTTCAAAAGAGTGCGTCCTTGTGTGTTTTCATTTCGTTATCTTGGTGTTCTTTTCCTAAGTTAAATCAGTTAACGAGTTTTGAGTTTGCGTTATTGTGTTCTTGTTCTTTCGTGAATTTTCGGTGTCTCAAGAGCAGTATTTGCCATCCTACAATATAATATATTTGCATTTATAAAATTGAAATAATTCGGGATGCATGGAAAAGTAATTGAACAGTTGCACTCACAGCGCGCGGCGTTCTATACATATGAAATATCGCCACTTCACTCTACTGTCAACTTACGACGAATCCACACGAACCCCGTTACGATATGTAAGAGCCGTAAAGTGCCTACTCTCGCATCACACCGCACTTTACGTAGGACCTTCGCCGCCACTCGTTCGTCTTACAACGAACTGTTAGTCCAGGACGAGTCAATGACAAAGAACCGAGCGCTTATAAATCAGCACACAAGAAAACCAAAAAGTCCACCATATCTTTAGAGCTTCGGCCGATAATATGAACGATAGACTATTGATAAAAAGGAAAGTCGAACATTTTGATTTATGTATAGTCAGATAAATAAAAAATTACAAAAAATGTTAGCCTGTTAATTGGAAAGAACAGACTAACTCGCTACCTGTCTGGATATCTTGAACGTGATAATTTATTTATGCATCTACATGTATCCATCCTATTTTGTATACTTCGCTCTATGTGTATCTAAAATACATTACGACATTTATACAAGCAAGAATTAAAAGCACTTTCAACCAGAATTGATTAACCTTGGTTAATTTGTAATTTTATGGCTGAAGGAATTTCTAATTAAGATATGATCGAGTTAATAAATTAGATTTAAAACTGTTGACTATACATAGTAGAATATATTTCAGTAAGAAAACGTTAACGATATTGATCACTTGTACGATACTATTCTATTTTATGACAATATATGTTTCTAATACTTTTTGCGAATTACTATGCATAAGTGAAGTTTGTTAGAATATGAAGTTCTTCCTTTTTTAAATTTTTTCAAATAAATAAATAATAAAATTATAAATTTTAACAAAGCGGAATAAATAATTGTATTATATTTACTGAGCTATTATTTATATATTGATATCCGATATATGTAAAAATATAAAAATTTTAGTGTACAAACAGTGATCGGTAATTTACAATCCTTGTACCCTATTCGATGAAGAACGAAATACAGTGCTGCTCATTTTAATATGATAAAAAATATCTGCGAACGATACATGACATTCTTCATCGTTGTTTTTAATTCATCATTATTAGCGAATCATCGCGATCCGATAATACATGTCCTTAATATATTATAAAAACAGACAGTTAAAAAATTAAAAATAATCAACTTTTGGTACACATGTAATATTAAGAACAAGCGAATAGAAAAGTAATGAAACTATGTGTAAATGTTTCATATCGATATTTTATAGATATATAGATAATTTTTGATGGCATCATCAAATATATCGATAATCTATCGATAATCGGAAGGTTCAAATCTAATATTAGAGCCAAATGGATAAGAGTCGTATAAGCAAGAATACTAGCTAGAGTACTAGTAGCTCGATCTCGAACCAAAGGTTAGCAACTAAAGTATAAATCAGAACATGTGTATAATAAGAGTAACGGGAACAAATAAATTTTCCAATTATCGATGTACGTGATCACAGTTACGTAATGTGACGCAAAAGTTACATGTTTATAACCATCTTTATACGATGGAAAAGTTTCGATAAATTTAATTATAAATTAAAGTTGAGAAATTCCTTGTAGTAATACTAATGGAATTAATTTATGAATATAACTTATGAGTATGAATATTATTTGACCAAGTTTTACAAAGTTTAATTATTTTATAAAGAAATAATAATTTTATGCATGAAATAATAGAGTAACTCTTTGGAAGAAGAGTATTTTACGAAATAGGTTGTTTCATCGATTACCACATTTTTATTCTATTCTCCATTTCTTAGACTATTTTTCATTAGAATATTAATCTCATAGGCTTTTCGTCAATACTACAATTTTTTAAATAAAAAAATTCAACTTTGTATATCTTGATATTCCTAAGAAACTCTTAAATTATTATTTTTAGGAATTTTCGAAATTTCTTTATCGATAAAACATAAACTGATTTTTAGTGATTCTTGGAAACGCTACTTAAAATTTTATAAATGCCAATACGCCTCCAAACTTCGACACAAATTCTATCTCCTCTTTATGCAGTAGAAAAATGTAATAATGCTATGAAAACAAATATAATTCTTAAAACAAATTTTAATATTTCGATACAATTGGAAATATTTCTTTCACTTTAGTCGCTGCATTTGAAATTTTTCTAACGACCTTATTAATTTGTCGTGAGAAAAAATTGATCGTATCTGTATATTAATTTTTGACAACTTTATTTGCGTCATATATGTATAGCAATTAATATTTATGGAAGTACATAAATTCATAATAACATGAAAAATGTAAAAATATCTGAAACGTAATGAAACATCTAGAACACGGTAAACGTCTTCGTACTTTCTGTTTTCGTATATTCTTGATTTTTCTAAAATTTCTGCAATAAGTGTGAACAATGTTCGGCTAGAAAAATGAATTTTAAGCAAATATAACTATATATATAATTCTACTTATTATTCAATATTTATTAAATAAGCTATTTACATGTCCGCTTAAATTTTCATAATGAATTGCATACAAGTAAAGCGAAAGACTGCACTTTTATGAAAATATTACTAAAAACTCAGAAGCAAGTGAAATATATGCGTAATAAGCATATGTAAGCATAAGCATGCGTAATATGCGTTTCCTAAATCTTATCTCGTAAGATCGTATATAATTCGAATACGATATATAACGCGTAAAATACGTTGTCACAATTAGCATTAGTTTTATCTGGGAGCATTGTAAACACGAATAGTGTCCTAAGTTGAAGTAAAATTAACACTCGATCGAAATACTACTTCTAAAATAGTAACTAAATCGAGACCACGACCCAAGAAATTACTAACAAATTTAACGAATAAAATTTCGATAAATTAAATAGAATCTTACAAATTTGTTTCATATCAACGTGTACAGCAGAGCGATATGTAATTTTTTTGAAAACGATGTTGTAAGAAATACTTGGTAAAGAAAAATAATAGAAAAAAATGATTACTCTTCGTAAAGTTTGACATTTCGTTAATGTTACAATGGAACACTGGAATCAAGTAATATTCACTGATGGGAGCAAGTACAACATATTCGGGTCTGACGAACGATGCACAGTATGGTGGCAAAAAAGTAGCGAACACGAGAAAAAAAGTTTGCAATCGACTGTAAAGCACGGTGGAGGATCAGTCACAGTTTGGGGCTGCATCACTGCATACGCCGTTGAATTATAAATGATGTCATGCACCACGAAACGTATATCGGTCCGAAAATATAGCAAAAAAGAAATATTCACGCTTGCAAATAAAATAGTATGATAAAACAATTATATGTTTCTACAAGATATTAATTATTCAAAATATAGATACATAATGTGCCCCAGTAATTAAAAAATCTTCCTGTGTCTTCAAATATAAAGTATTCTAGAAAATTTATAAAGCTGTATAAATGTGGTAGAAACTTATCTAAAAGAAAAATTTCAAGATTTCTGTATTTCTTGCGTTTTTAAAGGCAAGAAAATGTCAAATAACGTAATAGACAATTTGATAATTGTGTGCTATAAAAATTCAAAGCAATTACTTTGTCTCCCATGAAATACTGAAACAATGAAATGATTAATTTTTTTTCGTTATGTTCGTGTTTAAAATTTTTTAAATTTCGACGCGTAAAATTAAAATACGTGAATACTTATTATGCTTATATTTCTAATACTTTTCGAGTTTTCGTTAATATTTGTAGGAAAAATTCAATAAAAATTGAATTATAAGCAGAATTATACCTGTTACGAATTATAAAATTCATAAAAATTGAATCATGCACAGAATGGCATAGATCTTAAATTGCACTTCATTGCTGTACTAATATTTTCATATTCGTGGAATGGCATCGATCATGTTCACGAACTTATAGGATATAAAAATTGCGATATTTATAATATATATATATATATAAATTAACGATAAATTATACTTACTTCATCGGGGTAATTACCACCGCAATATACATCGCATCTAGCAACTCTGATAGAGTCATATTCTTCGATGTATCTCGTCCAAGATGCGAGACATCCTGGTAAAAGCAACCACCAAAGCCACCATTCTGTAAAAAATCAAACTAATATTGAATAACATTGTGGCGGATGAAGTAAATTGAAATCTGTATGAAACAAAATGCGATGAGCTTAAGACGGATTGAATTACATTTGCTTTTGTTCGAAAGGTTGATACCGATACGAATACCTAGTAAATTAATACACTTTCCAAGCATGACATATTATACACCAACTATGCAGCAGAAGTAGCATTGTGGATTGAAAGAAAGCAGTCAACTCCTACTTCTGTCTTCTTTCGTTAATCGGAGTATTCTTTCTACGATCAGGTGTATAATTTGTTGAGCTATAATTGTAGCCGATTTTTTATTTGGTTAAAGAAAAAGGATAAAAAAATAAGGCGAATTGCGATATATTCGTGAAAATATAGCTACTCTTTCAAATAAATTTATGAATATTTAAGATGTTAATGCCGCCGTTACAGAAATTGTAAAGAATGGTAGAAAATAATAAATGTTTCGCACTAAAGTTAAACTAAAATCACCCATTATAGGTCATCGAATTACAAACTACTATCTAAATTTTCGTGTACATGTATACGAAGTAAATGGAAATTATATAATTCGATAATGATTATAAATCACATGGATGAAACTCTGATCACGTGCTTGATAACAGAGGTGCAACGATACGCGTGATTAATATGCTAACACTTGGGTGCACGAACTTGGTACGTATGTGAAGCATTGGCGCAACAAATGCCAGCGATTTACGCATTTAGCGATTTACGTATTTGAAATTCGAGTTCTTCTAGTCTAACCGCACGTTTGTTTATACAAAATGTTACATTGCAACTTAACTTTTGCATTTACGAATTTTTGCATTTGCAAACTGTAATTTTACCAACGCAACCTGTAAGCTTGTATACTTTTAAGAATCATCTGTATAATCATTTACATGGAAACGAATATCTATACCTTCGTTGTCTCGTTAATATGGCTTTTAACCATAATTATGTAAACCATAACTAAATAAGATTTACTCGGAATATTCGAGATTTACGTATTATTTCGTACAAGAAAAAAGGAAAAAAGGGTAAAAGATAGGGAACTCTCTCGTATTTTCTTGTAAGAAGGGTAACGTTATTATCATATTTATCATATAACAGTTTTCGCAAACCTCCTACACGTATAAGGGTTTATACGCGTACGATTATAATACGTACTTTATATGCACCCTGCATGTTTCATTGAAATTATATTCTATTTTACATTTTTACACCGCGATAAACCCATATGCATAAATAATCGAAATTTGTGGTATTTAAGAAGAAAGCCACTTACATTGCGCGATATATACACATGTATGTTCTTTATATCATATATCTATCGCATGCCATATCGTATGTCTGTCATAAATACGTTGATACAAATATAGTCTGTGAATGCATATCCGTATGCCTTAAATTATATGCGTTTTAAAAGTGCTTTATACCGTTCAGCTATCTTGATAAAGTACCATTCAAGTACTTCACGATGAAGTCACTTATACGAAGAATCGAATCATTCTTCTTGGTGGACAAAAAGAGAAACTCGATAAACTCGGTTTCATCCTGGTCGACTTAACGACAAATATCTTGATATAAAAGATATTAAAGAAGAATATTAATAATCTTATTCGCATATCACGTTACATAATTCGATTGGGAAGTTGTTACCGTACAGATTCTCGAGATAGGATTTAAATCGAATATCGCGTGTTCCTGTATCGTTGCTTTCATACTCGAACTTTGAAAAATATTTATTTCCCGTCCATTGACGTTATAAACATTACGGAACAAGTCGCGTAGATAATGGTCTCGATGAAAGAAGAAGTTGGAAAAAAGAATTCTTTGTAGCTTAACGAGTCCATTTGTGTAATATAAGAATCTTCAATCGCTCGAATTCGCTAAGGAAGTAGTAGGTAAGAGGTATTTTAAAAAACCGGTTCAATTATCGTCGTACAACTTCACTGTGGTTCGTGATAGCCAGATGATAAAAAATTAAATGGATTCTCGGTAATTCTGTAATACTTCTATTTTAAATAATTATTCGTGATTATTTCCTGTTAATCCGACGCACTGATAGAATGTTCAAATGTTTCGTGACACCTTGCACGAAGAAATAGATCCGTTAATCACCGATATGCCATCATATTTCCCGGCACGTAATAACGAAATTAAATAAAATTAAGAATTTAAAATTGCACGAAATAAAATATGACATTGCTATTTTGTAAAATCGTTATCGATTAACATTTAAGCGAGAAATAAACGATCTATTTATAAAACCATCGTCTTTCTATGAAATTATTTTCTTTCGTCGATGCGCTCGTATAATTCCCCTTTACTACCTACTCCAAGAACTTCGATCGAGTTGTATCGATAAGATGCACATCACGTCGAATGACATGAAATGACATGGAATGACATCGAGCAGCATACAAAAAACTATTAACCGAAATGCTATAAATTAATAACGATGTAATTAACGATGAGATAATGATCTTCCTGTAACAAAAGTTTTACATAAATTTTGAATTCGATGAGCCGTATCGAGATATCCGGTCCCCTTTTTAGCATTAATTTAAACGATATGCATGTATTTATATGGATATTTTCTAATATTCTTCAATTCTGTCTACACGCGTAATTAGCTAACTATTTTGAATAGGTTTTAGAAGTAGTATCTAAAACAATACGAATCATTTCATACGTACGATTGTACGTATTTATTTAAAAATAATATAGATAAACGCTTCTAGACCAGTCGTAATATACAAAAAGTTAAATAAAGAACGCGTTGGTGGTGAAGATTGTACTTAATATTTTAAAGGTGGTGAAAATGATAGTTAAATCTTACGTAACTAGGATAGAATATTTGAAGTGATACGGAGGCGAAAAGATTGGAAGGCAGGAAAAAGCTGGGATTAGAAATGGAAACTATGGTGGCGATACACTATCGCGGGCACGATAGTCGGAATGTAAAGGAATCGCGTTGGTAAAAACGAAGAGCCGACAGGGCGATTGGAGATACGTACGTTTGAAAATAGCTGGTAAAGTAGAGTCGATGGAGGATTTCACGGCGTAATTCGAGCCAGCAGCTACGGACATCAGGGGTGTCAAAGGACTTCCGTGCGTTAGAAGAGGCAGCGAGCAGAAGCGCCGGAAGCGGTGCGGCATATCCTCTGTAAGACGTGGTTGCTCGGCTAACAAAGTAGCGGAGTGATCTTCGTGTGCGATCGAGAAGCGCGCGCCAGCGAACCGGTAAAACCGAAGACGAAGCGAACCGATCGCAGCGAACCGTTTGAACTGAGATCGGGCTTACTTTCTTGCACGGTCCGATCCTCTCCTGCACTTCTCTGGCACTTCTCCTACTACTTCGACCCACGCCATTCGTTCCCACCACCCTGCTACCACCCGTCGCAATGATCGAATCATTAACTTTGGAAAGGGTCCTGTGCCAGTGGCGAATACAAGCCTCTCCTTCCCTCCCTCTCTCGCTCCTCTCTCTCTCTCTCTTTCTCTTTTCTCTCTCCTCTCTCTCACTCTCTTTCTCTCTCTCTCTCTCTCTCTCTCTCTCTCTCTCTCTCTCTCTCTCTCTCTCTCTCTCTCTCTCACTCTCTCTCGTCATCTCTCACTTTCTTTCTTCTTCGAGTCTTTCGTTCGATATTACCCGCGTTTCCCTTCGCCGCTCCTTACGCTTGTTTTCTTTCTTTTTCGATAACAATTTCTACCAAGCGCGTTAGATTGTTCGAGTATCCTGTCATTCTTAGCCAAGCGATCTCCAGCAACGAGAACGCACGGCAAGTAAAGCGAGCGAGTAGAACGAACGATAAGAATGCACGACGAAAAGATAAAAGTAACTTGTTCTTCTATGTAATTCGATATATACGTTTTCTTTATCCTGCACCTTGTCGAATATTTAGCTATTTCGAACGAACTGTCTTTTAAATATGCTAATACAACGGAAATTTTAAATGCCCCTTTTCTTAAATTCGCTTTCATAGCTTGGCTTCTTTACATTGTATCGCTTTCTCTACGAAATATCGGTGTAGCTCGAGGTTACGAAATATAAGTAACGTCGAAATATTCAATATAAGTACTTATCCCTCCTTTATTTTCCAGTACATACAGCAATGCCCCTAACCTATTGAACGCAATCACGCGCTAATTGAGATTCGCGTTCATAAACGCGAAGGAAAGTTATAGATCGAAATGATAGATATATTTTGTACGATTCGATGAAACATTTTTGGTTTTAAAAGAAGAAATGAGAAAAGAAAGTGAAAAGTTTCTATATTATAGAGATAATCTGGGATAATTTATTTTTTTAAAGATAGACATGCACATAGAAGACGATGAAAATTGATGAACAAGAGAAAGCGAAAGCTGTTGTATTCCCGTTTGGGAAATCGATAAAGACGTAAAAATGCGTATAAATTGTAGATATATTTTAATACGAGCACGAAAGCGAAAAGACCCCAAGGAAAAATATTTATCGTTTACGTAGGCGTAAAAAGAAGAAGAAGAGGAAAAGGTGAAAAAGAGCGTTAGGAAATGCGATATAAACGAGTATATATTTATGAAATAATTTGGAAAGATTATTCGAAGGGAAAATTTGACGACGCGACAAACGCGATTGAAAATAAATTACACGACTGGCTCTCGCTTTAGTTGTATCGCGATTCGCGATAGTTGTAATTTTCCAGTTTCGTAGCTCGGACACCGGCCGTATTTAGATGAGCGTCGAAGCTTAAATATCAGCGACTACGGCCGATTCGAAAGTCTGGTAAAAGTTTGGTAAATTCGTGCAGGTCGCTGAATAAATTAACCCGGAAATGAAACGGTCGTTTTGTTTAAAACGTGTTTCGGTTAGATATCGCAGAGCGTGGATATATCTACGCGCTCGTTGCGAATCTCTCTCGGTCCAGCCTGCCGCGCAGGTATTGCAACCTGTGTGGCATGAGAACGGGGCCTTCTCTTCTCACATAATGAACGACTTCGAAGAACGGTAGTGGCATTGACCTGAATCTATTAGGGCTTCGGTTTGGCGGTATTATAGCTGCCCGTGAATCAATCCCTTACTTAGCAACATTCGTGGACCACACGAAACTCCGTATAGCTCATTATACCGGTCCTTATTCCACGCTTCTTATGTCTTATGTAGGATAAACGTAAACTTTGTTCCTTTTGTATCCTTTGCCAATTCTCTAACCGATGTATAAGTTGAACAAAAGCTCGTGTCCCGCTGTTTCAACCTCTAGCTGTATCTTGGATTTTGAACACGTTCCGCGTATCGAGATAAACTTACTCACCCATACCGATACACGCGTGCATCGTGTACGAGATAAAACTTTCTTCCCTCTTTCCTTCCATCGTTTCTAACTCCCAGTTAATCGATGGATTATCCGTTTCCGATTATTTCGCGACACTTGAATTCCAATTCTAGAATTCGTTTGAATTTGCCTCATTCTTATTACGTTTTACCAGTTGTTCCCATACCTCGCTGCGATTTTTCATCGCTCCTTATTCGAGAATTCCTTCTAAATGGTAAGTAATACGAGACTTTACCCATCAAAGTATGAGTTTTCGTCATCGTGTTGGTTATATACGTGGTTATACAACCTATGCATACGTTCGGCTGAAACTCTTACGTAGTATCATGTCATTATTGAGTATCACCGAATACTCTGTTACTCCAAATGTTATAAATTACGCGTTTTTCTCTGCTAACTGTTCTACCGTTATCATTATTAAGAATATCTAAGAAAGAGATAAATATTTCAAGCTGTCAAATTTCTGACATTTTCGTGAAGAAGGATTGAAAGGTAGCTTGGAAAATATCGCTTTAAAAGAATTGAAGATTCTGAAAATATAATCCATGACATGTATCATCTATATATTCGCACAAGTAGGTATATACGTGTAAATAGAACATACGAAAAGAAAAATTAAAGAATAATACGGTACTACAATTTATAAATTCTTTTCATCTTCTAATTATACAATTACAATACAACTATAATACAATTACATTTTATCTTCTTCGAATAAATAATATTGAATTTTATATGTTAAATACGCTTACATTAAAAATTTCTGACTAATTATGTAAGTATAGACAAATGAAATTTTCCCCTTTTTTGGTTTTTTTTTTTTTTTTTTTTTTCTAACAAGACACCAATTTATTATACCGACATATATTTATTCCTTTGTTTTAAAAAAAGGGAAAGATTGGAAATATACGTCAAACTGCTGCTCAATTAATCAAGGCATTTCTAACAAGTTATAAATTCCCAAAGTATTTTTTTTGCATACGGAATAAGGAACTTGCACCAAAATTCTATAATCTTATTCAACATTAATTTTTCATGGATCCAAGTACACAATTGATGTGGCCCAAACTATTAGTTACTTTGTCAGAATGACATTAACTTGTAGCATTTTAGTCGATGTCTAAATAAATTTGGTTTAACCTATACCTTCTATCCTTTGCAAATTTCAAACAATTTAGATAATAATTTTTGCATGTTTAATACCCATAGCACATTACGTAGATACATTACATAGATCAAGTATGTTGTTTGCATATGAATACGACTGAATCGTCCAAATAGAAATTTACCCGAGAGCATTAAATTTGTCCTTATTTATATATAAAATCTGTCGCTAAAATATCGCTAAAATATCGCTAAAATATCGCTAAAATATCGCTAAAATATCGGCTTCGTTAAAATTTATGATATATTTGTGAAGGTTTATATGGAAGGTTAAAACGTGTTTTGGTATTTCGAAGAAAATAACAAAGGTACAATAAGTATAGAATCGTGTAATTATACTCTGGAACACTTCGAGCTATTCTATCAATTATATACTTTAATGGCGCTTTCTGCGAAAAGAAAGCCGATAAGATAAAAATGGTAATTAAACATTTGCAGCCTCGTATTTAGGTGCAAATAATAATCAAGTCTTGAAGCATAATTGAACGTCGAAACGTAATGACAGACGACGTACGATTACCACTTATACCTTTGTGCACGAAATAATCATATACTTTAAGATATCATACTTAATCCTTAACTACGTGTAATAATAACAATAACGCGATAAAAGATTTATGTTCTTGGTCGCTCTAACGTACTTGAATAACAAAATTTATCCAATAGTCGAATAAATTAATGTTAAAAATAACGGCAACTTTTGTATTATAAAATTCCATTAAAAAACATGTGGGTAAAATAAAGATATTTCTTTATTTTTCAAATGTAATTATTCATTACCTTTTACCTTCTACTTTATATCTTCTTAAATGATTTAATAATTATAACTTTCTGTACTTGGTATATTTTATCTTGACACGATGCAAGTGCAATATTATAAAAAGCTTATATTAAACGCGAGAAACGTGTCCCAATTTATGTACCCATTTACATATTATTATGGTAAATACATGATCAACGAAACATACGCGTAAGTATATATATTGTTATTTGTTATTTCCGTACTAATATCGTTTCTTATTGGATTATTTCATTTTCTATTTTAAATTAAATATTTTATTTAAACATTTGTCTATAATTTCTACAGGATAATAATTTTTAAATTAAGCATTTGAGATTCCTTTCATTTTTCGTCATTTTGAAGATAACCTTGAAGCTATAATTTATTCTATATTCTATAGTTAAGTGTAATTAATTATGTGTGTGAATACTTAATAAATCATATATCTCTCTTTTATAATTAAAATTCTATTGAAATATAAATCGTGTATCTATTTCTATTAAACTTCAGTTCTCACCTCATAAAACAATTATTTATTAAACTTTTATTGAAATGTGCAATTTGTAATGACCCAGTTTATAAACGGATAAACAACAAACTGTATATTGTATCAGATCAATTTTCATCCTGAATTTTTCGCGCAACCAGCTAATAAATATTTCTTAGAAAATTTGTTATATCTATACTTGTTGAATACCTGTTGAATCTTATAACTTGCTAATATACAGAAAATATGAAAACATAATTAAAACTACTTAGTTTTTTAAATAACTATGCAATTATGAAAGTGTATTAATACTGTAATTTACTAGGTTACAATATATTTATAATATCTGATTTAATATAAAATAATTGCTAAGAATAATAATGCAATAATAAAGCAAAGTGAATAGAAAAATATAAATGCAATCTCAAATTCTGAAAGATCTCTAAATTACGCCCTATACTCTATATTTTCTGCATACCTATTTTACTTGTGTATGGCTACTATATATCACGATTTTATGCTTTATACCTTTTTCTTTGCAGACTCATTAGCAATACATCTTCATA